CCTCTCTACCCGTCTGTGATGCGATGTGTGTGCTGGGGCACTTGTGCCTGCGTATGTTCCCAGTGCGAACTCCAAAGAGAAGTACGCCCGCCGGGCCTGTGGGTTCTAACCATGCTTCACCCCCGGGCGATAGGATCGCCCCTCTGACTGACGCCTCCACTCTGTTTGGGCCGGGGCCCCTCGTCTCTCCCTGTGTTTCCTCCTAGGGTTCCCTACCTGCCCTCCCCCCAGCCCCGCACACACACACACACACACACACACACACACACACACACTGTGCACCGCCACGCTCGGGTCCAGGTCCTCCACCACAGGCATGTGAGTGATGATGCCTCTACCCTCCGACACCTGTGTGTAGGGTTTAGATTCATCGCCTCATGCCCCGAATCGTGCTCCAGAGAGAGAGTGGCAGAGCCTATTAGAAAAGGCTAGCTGTCTGGACAGGCTAGAGTACGAACCGGTGAGAAGGTCGTTCCGTCCGGTGCGGTGCCCGGGGATAAGCGTCACACGGGTGCCACCTCCCCTTCCTTCCCCACCCAGCCAGCAGCGGCTCTCGTTTGGCTTTCCTGTCATTCGGTGATGGGTGAGTGGACTCACGCTTCCCATTGCACGGTCACCGTGGTTTTCCAGACCTGTGTGCGTGGCGTAGCTACTCTCTGTGTGTTAGAAGAAATCTCTCTCTGGCCTTCCCCCTGCCCTTTCCCTGCCTGTGAGGGGTGGCGGGTGGGGGCGGGGGGAGGGAGTGTGTTGTGGGGCGGGCGAGGAGCGGACTTTCACAAGTGAGCGGGGTGCCTCCCGACGGCTCGTCTCTTGCTGGAGCCGACCCATCTTTGGGAGTTTTTTTTTTTTTTTCTCTCTTTCTGGTTTCCATCAGGGGGAAAAGGAAAACAAAACGTACAAACAACCCCCCCCCACCCCCCCCCAAAAAAAAAAAAAAAAGACGGGCAGGCAGACGGTGGGACGAGCGCTCACTTGCCCTTTTCTGGCCATGTTGGGCGGGGAGGGGGGTCTTGCCACGGGCGGCGGAGGTCGTGCGGGTGGCCGGTTCGTTTTCTCTCGTGGTGCGGGCCTGCCGTCTTTGCCGCCCCTTCCTGCTTGGGACCGATCCCAGCTTCCCGGTTCTCGGGTTCGGGCCGCTCCGTTCGGGCGAATCTCGTCCTGGTTCCTGGTTTCACTTTGGTCGCTGGCGGCGGCGGCGGCGGCTCGATCTCGGTCTAGGTCTCTGGTGGCTCTGGTGTCGTTCGTGAGGTCGCAGAGAGGACCCGGCTGCAGGTCCTGACCTAGGTTGTGCCACTCGGTGCGTGGCGGTGGTGAGTGAGGCGATTTGTTTCCGTGTTCTGTGTCTCCGGAGCTCAGAGCCGGCCGGCGCGTGCCGATCCGGGGTACGGCGGCTCGGTGGAGTCGGTCGTTGGAAGGCGGTTGTCGTGCTCCCCCTGGCGTCCGCTTTGATATGACAGTCCCCTCGTTCTCAGCCGAGCGAGCGAGTGGAGGAGGAGGAGGTCTGGCGGCAGCGAGCCGGGCGGAGGCCCGGCCTCTGCCGGGTGCCGGGCGCGACTGTCGCCGTGGTGTCGCTGTGGCGCCGGGGCGGCTGTTCTGTCGGACTTTGCGCCCGCAGGCGAGCGCGGGGTGGGGCCGTGCGTCGCCGCTCTCTCTTCGGTGCCCGGTCTGTGCGGGGGGTGGCAGCTTTGTCGGGTCGACCAGTAGTTCTGTCTGGGCCCGACGCCTTGTCCTCCTCCCCTCCCTGGACTCTGGTCTTTGAGGGCGAAAAAAGGAGAGTACGAGGGACGTCTCAGGAGTCGGGGGAGAGGGTCCCCGGGTGAGCCGATAGGTGGTGGGGCCGGTCCCGGCCCGGACTCGGACCCCCCCCCTCCCCGGAGTCACCTCCGAGTGAGCGCTTGGCGCGTGCCGGGCGCGAGGGCCTGGGTCGCCGGCCCCGTGTGGCCTCCCTCCACGGCCTCCTCCACGGCCCCGGAGGCCGGAGGACAGACCTCTCCGGCGGGAGGAGCCGTGGGCACGGCCAAGGCAAGCCTCGGGGCCGGGACCTACGCCCCCCCCATCCCCGACATAGGATGGTCGTCGGAGTCACCTCCGAGTGAGCGCTTGGCGCGTGCCGGGCGCGAGGGCCTGGGTCGCCGGCCCCGTGTGGCCTCCCTCCACGGCCTCCTCCACGGCCCCGGAGGCCGGAGGACAGACCTCTCCGGCGGGAGGAGCCGCGGGCACGGCCGAGGCGAGCCTCGGGGCCGGGACCTACCTACCATCTGCGGGGACTTGCCCGGTGGGCCCTGCGTAGGGGAAAACTCGAGGCGGAGGGAGCACCTCGGGAGTCGGGGACCCGAGCCCGGGAGTCCCGGGTGTGTGCGTGCTGGCGGCAGGGCGCTCACCACCGACCCCGCGCGGTGTGGGTGTGGTGGTTGGGTGCCTCTCGGAGTGGGTGCCTCGCGTCTGCCGGGGGAAGGCTCTCCGTACCGCCCGTGCGGTGAGCCCGTGCACACCCGGGGTGTGTGCCTGCGAGGTAGTGGGGCGGGAGCGTCCCTTGACCCCGCTCCCGCCCTGGCTCTTCGTCTGTCTTCGCCTTACGTGGTCGACCAGCTGTCCCTGAGAGTTCCGTGTCTGGCTCTGTTGGGGACGTGTTGGGGACAGGTGTCCCTGATGTGGTTTCCGAGAGGTCCCTGTCGCCAGCGAGTTGTCGCCCCTGCCTGACGACCTGGTTTTGGCGTGGTGACGTGAGGATTTTGTACCTGCAGGAGGGTGCTGGCATGCTGTGTCCCGGTGGCTGTCAGCGGGTCTCTGGGGGCTCTCTCGGATGCTGTGTGCCGGGCCTTTCCCGTCTCTTCCCGGTCCGGGTCCCCCTGTCCTTCCCCCCACACCCTGGGCTCCCGCTGCCCTGAGCAGTCCCTGTGTCCCTGTGGTGGCTCATGGGTGTGGTGGTGGTTGGCGGCTGAGTGAGTCCCGTCGTCCTTGATCTCTCCCCCGCTCCCGGTGCCGGATTCTGGCCCTTGCCTCGGCACGCTGAGGAGGAGAGTGGTTGGTTGCCTGGGGTGTGCATAGGTAGGCCCGCGCGGTGTGCTTCCCTCGCCGTGGCCGGCTTGAGGAGGAAAACGGCGGGGGCGAGTCCTTCCTGCCTTGCCTGTGCGTGTGCGGCATCCCCGTTCTTCCGTTGGGCTCGCCCGACCTCTGTGGCTTTTTTTTTTTTCCTTCCTCCTATCGCCCCTAGCTCCAACTCCCCCGACCTGCCGCTTCCCGATGGCGGGCCTGGTTGGCCACTGATCTGCGGTACCTCCCGAGCGTTGTCCGTGGCTTTTTTTTTTTTCCCTCCCTTTCTAGCTTCTTCGTTCCTGTGCCTGGCAGAGGTGTCCTGGTTATCCCGAGTGCCAGGGAGGTTTAAACTCGTGGTATTTTTTCATTTTTTTTTTCTTTTTTTACCTCGCTCCTTACTCACGAAAGGGTGTCTGTCCTGGCTACGCTTTTATCCCAGGCTGTTGGCCCTCTCAGGAGCCGAGCAGTTTCTGGGCCACCGCCTCCCGAGTACCGCGTGGCTGCATTCTCCCACCCCCTCGGTGTGATTGATGTGGTGGCGTTGCGATCTCCTTCGGGCCCGGGCCTAAGCTGCGCCAGGCGAGGGAAGGACATTCATGGCGAATGAGACCGTGCCATGCCGACCCCAGTAGAGTCTGCTTAGCATGGGAGACCATCTATCAGACCATGATAGGGGCTTCGAGACCTATCTCTGAGTCTTGGGACTTCACCGAAGTCTACCTCAGAGAATGGGGCTTTACAGAAACCTATCTCCAAGTTTTGGGACTTCACCGAAGTCTACCTCGGAGAATAGGGCTTCTAAGAGGCCTACTCCTGGGAAAAGGCTGAAAAAACCCCTGGGAAAAGATGCGTTTCTGCCTTTCTTCACTGCATAAGAGTGCCTATTAATCTTTTACTGCTTCTACTGCTCTTTGTACTTGCTCATTGTCAACGTTCCCTTAGAAAGAACTTCTTGTTACTCTCTTTCATTTACTAAAAGACTTGCTAGATGTAGGCCTCGGTGACCTTGCTATTGAGGAAAGAACAGGAAAGATCTTATGGGACAGTTAAGGCCTCTATAGAAATAAGGTAATGGTTAGTTGATGACAAAACATCGAAACCCATTATATTTCTTAGAGATAAGCCGGAAACAAGTGCCTATCAGGAGACCAGCTGGTGACCACCCAAGAAAGAAGCCCTGCAGCAAGATTGTGTAACCTTTTGCCCTTTCTCATGGAGACTTTTGCTATAAAAGTTTGTTATCCTCTGCATTAAATCGCACTCAGCATCCACTCCTAATGTGTGTGAGTTGTCTGTTTGCCATCTCCCCACCTATTCCAGGTTCCTCCCTTAGGTGTCCTCCGTCGTCCCGACAGAACCCGGTCCGCGGCAGGACCGCTCTTCTCGTTCTGCCTGTGGGCCCCTGCCCTCACCCGTCCCACCGTGCCGGCGCCGGTGGTGTGCGGGGAGGCGGGGGTACAGCAACCGGGCCCGGCTGCGCTCTCCCTGCCCTCGCCGTGAGGTCGGGGACTTGTACACGCTGGAGGAGGGGGGGCGCCCTGATCTTGCTCCTATCTTCACGTGACTTGTTATCGGCATGGGGGTCGGCTCTCTCCGCGGAGAGGGAGGGTCGGTGCTCCGTGCTTGCCCGTGCTGTGTGGTGTGAAAAACCGCGCCTCGCGCTCTGCCCTCTTGCGGTGCTCCCGGAACGCTCCCGGTCGGTTCTCTCAGGTGCCTGAGGCTGAGTGGTGGTGTCATTCCCGATCCTGGCGTTGTCCGCTGCCTTGTGCCAGCCTGCTGCCCGTGGTGTGTCCCGGCCGTCCTTGGGTTCGTGGGGCTTTTGTGTGAGTGAGAAGTTACCGTTGAGATTGACGTCTCTGCTGGGGGGGGGTCGAGGCGGTTCCCCAGAGGAACCCTTGTTGCGCTGGGCGGTGGCTTCCCCGCATGAGCTGCCGCCCTGGTCCTGGCTTGTCTTCCCTGCCATGTCACCTGGCTTTCATCGCACCGGGGGACCTGAGATGTTGCAGTGGGAGGCGAGCCGGGCCCGTGCGGGCTTCCTGCCCGTTTGCGCGACTTTGCTCTGGCCCCGCACGGCAAGACCGACCTACCAGGGTTGGTGTTGCTGCTGCTGCAGACCCCCCCTGTGCCCCACCCCTCCCTGCCGCCCGTGGTGGGAAGGATGGACGCTCTGATGTGTGCTGGTCCCAGCGGGGTTCCCATCGGGGTTGGGGGCGGGCCACCCTCAGAGTGAGGAGAGGTTCTCTAGCGATCCTCGTTTGGGAAGCGGTGTGCGCTACTGGGTTGGCGGGGGCCCGCCTCCGATGGGCTCCCGCGGCCCTGCCGCTCCCTGCCCCGCTTTTGAGCGGTAGTGGCTGTCCGCGTCGGTAAACTGCGTGCCCGCGCCTCCCCCCTCCGAGCTGGGGGAGGGTCCCGCGGGACCTCTCCCGGGCCGTCGTCTGGTGTGGTGAGTGGAGGACGTTCCCGATCCCTCCCCGCCCCTGCCTCGCGTGCGGTGTGTCGAGTGGTGGAGCCTGGAGCCCGTGCCGGGTCGCGATGCGAGGGCCTGTGGTGTGTGGCTTCCCGGCCTCGTGCTTGGGTTGCCGTGGGGTTTTTGGGGGTCCCATCCCCCTCCCCCTCCGGCCCCTGGCGACGCTGTTCCCGAGCGTCTGTGTGGGCCGCCGCCCGTTGGCGACGACGGCGCCGTGCGGGCGCTGGGCCCCGTGGTGTTCCGGGGCCGCCGTGCCCGTGGTGGTGCGCCGCTCGGGGGGGTTCTGGCCCTCCGGAGCCGAGGATCCCGGTGTGTGTGGGCCCTTGCTCACACGGCCGAAAAAGAGGCGGTCGATGATGGGTGCTGTGCCCGGCGGTGTGGTGTGGATGGAAGCGGTGGGGCCCTGCTGGCGCGGGCGGCTCCGCAGGCGTTCACGGGGTCTTTGAGGTGTGTGCGAGAGCTGCCTTTTCCCTCTCGGGCCTCTTTTGGGGGGGCCCGCCGCTGCCGCGGTGGGGGTTTCCGGTCCGCTGGTCGGCCGGCTCGGTGTCCCAGGCGTTGCGCGGGACCGCCCCGGAGTTGGGGGTGGTGAGATCCCGCGTTCGTTTACCTGGCGTGCCGGCTGTGCCCGGAAAGGTCCCACTTCCCCGTTGGTCTGCGGCTGCGCCACCCGTCCGTGTGAGGGGGTTGGCCGCTCGCTCACTCGCCTCTCGCCCCGGTGACCTGACCCGGTGACCCTCCCGCTGCTCTTCTTGTGCTTCCGGCATGCCCTCCTCACCCGCATCAGCCTTCTGCTATCCTCGCCGGTTTGGCCTTGGTGGCAGGCCACCGGCGGACGGTCGAGTTGGGCGTTGTGTTGGTGTTCTCTTGGGGGGGGGACGGCGCTCAGCTCGTGAGGCTGCTCCCCCGGTGTGGGGGAGGCACGTCGTCGCGGCGGCGGTGGCTTTTGAAGGGTCTTCCCGGATCGGTTTTGCTCACGACGAGGGTTCCTGCCAGCGGGACCACCGGTACGCCACGGGGGCGATGGTGGTGAGATTCCCGCGTGCGTCCCTCGCTCGGGAGTTGGCCGTCCAAGGGGCCTGAAGCCGGCATCACGACGTGCCTCCTCCCGCTGGGCGCCGCCTTGCGTGCCTGCGCGATGTTGTCCCGGGTTCCCGCGCCTCCCTCCCGCTTCGCCGTGCGTAGGCTTGCCCGCATCGCATCGTCTCCTTGGTCTCGAGCCTTGTGGCTTTGTCCCCGCCCCTGTCCCGGATCCGGGGTGTTGTGCTCTCTCGGCGTGTCGCCACTGCGTGCCCGGCGCGACCCCGGTTCCCGTGCCTGGCCCTGTCCGCTCTGTGCCGGCGGTGTCCGCGTGTGAGCGTGCTCGCGTGCGTTGGGTTTGGTGTCGCCCGCCTCCCGGGGTCCCTGCCGCCGCCTCCGGCCGCCGCCGTTGGCCGGTGACTTGTCGCCGACGGGTTGTCGCCGCGGACCCCTGACCCCCTGCCGGCACCGCCGGTCCGCGGCGGCGCGGGTCGCTGTGCGCTCGGCCCCCGCGTCTCCGTGCGAGCGAGTGAATTCGGGCCGGCTTCTGAGGGAGGTGGAGAAAAGACCCCCGTGGCCGTGTGGCGTGCGTTGCGTCGTGTGCGTCGCCCCTGGCTTTCCGGCCGCTCGGGTGTGTGCCACACGCGACCCGGCCGGCTGGCCGGCTGGACCGTGGACGTCGGCGCGCCGCCTCCCGGCGGAGAAAGGGGCCTGGCGCTCCTCCCCGTCCGTGTGTGCGCGCCGCCGCTCCCGTGCCCGCCGGGCCGGCAGGCGGGGTGTCGTTGATGTGGTTCCCCCGCGCTTGGGTGCGGTGCGGTGCCCTTCCCCCCCCCCCCCCCCCCCCCGCCACGGGTTCCCCTGCACTCTCCGTGCTCTTTCCCCTCTCCGCTCGTCCCCGCGGTGGCCTGCTTGCACCCGTGTGCCTGCGCTGCCGTCCTGGATGGTGGCGGTTGGGTCGCGTCGGCGGCCGGCTTGGCCCGCCAGTGTCGGTCTTCCCGGTCGCTGCCGGCGTTCGCTGGTCGGTGGCCTCGGTCTCCCGGATCGAGGTCCGTGCCTCCCTCCCTTCCCGCGCCCGCTCTGCGCCCACCCTCGTGTGTGCTCTCGGGCCGGTCGGGCGTGCCCGGTCGTTCTGGTGTGCGGCGACCCGGGATCCGCCTCGCCGCCCTCGCTCCCCCTCGTTGGCTCCCCGTCTCCTCCTCGCCGCCGCCGGCTGGCCGGGAGGGAGGGGCTGGGGCTCTGCCCTCTCCTCGCTCACGCTCGTTGACGTCTGGTCCCCGTGGAGAGACAGACGGATGCCCTGGTTTGCCCGTGTTCCCTCTCCGCTCCTTTCGCCCCCCCCCCCCCCCCCGCGGCAAGGAGGTGGTGGTGGGGTCGTGGGGTCGGGTTCGCGGTGCGTGGGCCCCGTGCGGTCGTGCCGCCCGGGCGCGCCGTTCTGTCGGCCCGGGACGACGGTCGTCGGGGGAGGTGAGGAGGCGAGCCCCCCCCCCCCCCCCGTTGTGGCTCGCCGGTGTCTCTCTCTCCCCTCGCTCGCCCGGCTTTGCCGCGTGCCAGCGGTCGGCCCGCCTGGTGGTGCGTTCCCGCGTGCTCGCCCGCTCCCGCGTCCTCCGTGCCCCCGCTTCCCCCCCCCCCCCCCCCCCCCGCCTGCCCCCTTCTCCGGAGGGAGGAGGAGGAGCCGGGGGGGAGGTTCCCGGGCTCTCCGGTCTCGCCCGCGCTCCCCTACCTGGTTGATCCTGCCAGTAGCATATGCTTGTCTCAAAGATTAAGCCATGCATGTCTAAATAGGCACGGCCGGTACAGTGAAACTGCCAATGGCTCATTAAATCAGTTATGGTTCCTTTGGTCGCTCGCTCCTCTCCTACTTGGATAACTGTGGTAATTCTAGAGCTAATACATGCCGACGGGCGCTGACCCCCCTCGGGGGGGGGGGGATGCGTGCATTTATCAGATCAAAACCAACTCGGTGAGCTCCCTCCCGGCTCCGGCCGGGGGGCGGGCGCCGGCGGCTTTGGTGACTCTAGATAACCTCGGGCCGATCGCACGCCCCCCGTGGCGGTGACGACCCATTCGAACGTCTGCCCTATCAACTTTCGATGGTAGTCGCCGTGCCTACCATGGTGACCACGGAATCAGGGTTCGATTCCGGAGAGGGAGCCTGAGAAACGGCTACCACATCCAAGGAAGGCAGCAGGCGTGCAAATTACCCACTAACAAAATAAGAACAGATTGACATGCAGATGGCAGTACGCTAATAAATATATATCTTCACAGTCCTGTTCCACCACTCTGTGATCCCCCCGCTGCCCTCTGATCCCTCACGGCTGCCATGTCCTCCGTGGGCCAGCGTGAGCACCCTGCAGTGCCTGGTGGAGCAACTGAAGCTGGAGGCTGGTGTGGAGCAGATCAAGGTCTCCCAGGCAGCTGCAGATCTTCAACAGTACTGCTTTCAGAATGCCTGCAAGGATGCCCTGCTGGTGGGTGTTCCAGCAGGAAGCAATCCCTTCCGGGAACCGAGATCCTGTGCTTTGTTTTAAAAGACTGTTTCATTGAGGAATGCCTTCAAGTACAAAGTGATGAATGCCTCCAAGTCTCAAAAAAACACTTTTTGCAGCCAAATGACTTATTAGATATTTCAGATCTTTTCTGTGTCCTTGTCACATAGCTAGAGTTATACAGAAATTAATGATTTTCTACTCAAATAAGGTAACTGAGTGAAGAAGTACAGTACTAAATAATAATGACCTAGTTCTATTGCTGAAGTACTTTTGAATTAAGACAAACAACCACCTTTACCACCAAATATTCCAAAATACACCTTTCATAAGTGAAGTTCTGGTTTTGCTATATCCGGAATATTATGTATGTTTTATTTACTGAATGTTTACATTTAGGAAGGAAAACATTTTTGTTTATTAAAACTGAGTATTTGTAACGTGTTCTTAAGATTTTTATACTACAATACAATTTGTTCTTTTCTCATGAATTCACAGTTACTAAATGAAGGTAAAGTATAAAATTCAGGAGGATAAATAGGCTTTACTAATCAAAAGATGTCTTTTTTTTCTTTTTACATGAGAAGACTTTCATTTTTAATGAGAATGTAATTTGTTTTAAACATTAAACCTGAGAGATGTATCTTAGTAAATTTGAAAAGATTATTGTTAATGATGTGTATTAGTTTCCCCATCTTGTACATGAAAATTTTATCTTTTTCTTCCTAAGTTCTTTTCTAGTTGTGGTACCTTAAAAAAAAAACCCAAAAACTACTTTATTTAAAAAAAAAATGTTTAAATTGTGACCTACAAACATAACATTGTAAATGGTTAAAAACAAAGTAATGTGAAAATATTATAACCTAAAAGAATTGTTCATGTCACATGGATGATGGGCCTCTCAGTTAGTTTTGGGATACTTTTAGAAGAAGAATGTTTGTAATAATCTTTGACAAGCTTGGAAATAAAACTTCTGCTTAATTCATCAAAAAAAATTAAAAATTAAAAATAAATAAATAAATATATATCTTTATAGAGTGCCAGAGATGTTTATACATTATTTAGTTTTATAGACTACATTCCTACCAATTCTTGGGTATTTATTATGTGTCTATGTGATTAATGTTATTGTTTAAATCCTTAAACTATTAATGAAATCAATCAGTGTCCTGAAATTATTTCATTCCTGAAAGTAATAATATTCTTTTAATGCTTCATAAATAATAAAATCAATCAGCCTCATGAAATGATGCTGTCTAATTATATAGGAGCATCATTCACCATCAATTCATTCAACCACGACCTTGATAACATTATATTGTTATTCCTATGGTTGGGAACCAGTTTCTTAGTGTCTCCTGCCATTGGTTGGTGTCAGGAGGGAGATTCAAAATCATGGCCTATGTTGCCACGTGATAGTCTGTCTGCCTTCAGCACTGCAAGATGAAGAACCCTTTGCAATAGTGTCATTCAGATGCAGGAGGATCTCTGTGCAGAGGAAGAAAATGTAAAAAGGCCTTTTTTTTCTGTGCATTGCTTTCCCTGCAAGGCCTGGGGGTCTAGGATCCCAGGAGCAGCTGTGGGTCCAGTGGCTGCACCGCAGCCTAGGGTGATCAAAGCTGAGGCAGAGTTGCGATGACCTGAGTTCAAGCTCCGTGCTGAGAAAAAAAAAAAATAGCTCCCTGGCTTGCAATTCACGCTGTTTATTCTTCCAGGCTTTGGATTTGAACTCAGGATCTGAGTAAATCTGCAAAAATGTGCATGAAGGGGAAGCTCATCGTACTTGAAGATAAGAAATTCAGGCCTGTTCATAGTCCTGAATTCAAGCCCAGCCCTGGAACACAAACTATTTAAATACATTGTAAAGATAGGATTTGTAATTACCTATAGATGTTCAGACCATACATGTTTAGTGTGGTTGTTCCTTGTATTTTTTGTTTTATTCATTTATTTACTGTTGATTTTACTATGATGAAACCAATTCTGTTTATTACATTGATGATATGCTATCACAGAGCATCTAGATTTGTATAAATGTTCTCCATCATACCTGACAACCAGGATTCTCAGAGAAAAGGAAAACAAGTTTCACACTCGGCTTCTTACTCCACGATCCACTTGTTGGTAGTGCTGGGATGTGATCTCAGGGCCTAGCAGGACCAATTTGCCAATAAATCAAGGTGCACACACCAACCTGTGAGCAATGTAGGAGCTAGGTCATTCCCAGAATCTGACATTGATCTCCAGGGTGGTCCACTATAGTCATAAATTCATA